CGCGCGCGTGCATGAGTGTGGACACGGGAGGGAGCGAGCAGGGTGTGTGAATGTGTGAGTGTGAACATGGTAGGGAGCGAGCGGGTGTGTGTGTGTGTTCACGAGGGAGCGAGTGGGGTGTGTGTGTGTTCACAGGAGGGATCTAGCGCTGAGGAGAGGGTGTGTGGGTATGTTCACAAGAGTGAGCTAGTGGGGTGTGTGGGTGTGTTCACGGAGGGAGCAAGCAGGGGGTGTGTGTGTTTGTAGAGGAAAGAACGGTATAGTCACAGGAGTGAGTTAGCTGTGTGTGTGTTCACTGAACGAATGAGTGTGTATAGCATTATATTTTCCTCATCTGTGAAATGAGGAAATTGAACCAAATGAGCTCCATGGTCTCTTTGCGGCTGAATGTTCTGAAGCTATGAAAATGTGTGAGAGGCAGAAGAAATGTATCAGTACATACATGTGTATGTGTGCATTTATGCATACCCACCGATATAAAAACATCATAATGTACGTGTGTAAGTACGTACATATGTATGTCTGTCTCCCAAACTCGAGGTTTATGTGGTCCCCTACCTGCCCGGGGGCCTGGGTGGCCTTTACCTCTGCTCAGCCCAGGCTGATAAACAAAAGGTGGCTGTGGACGTCGGGGTGGGGCTGCGGCAGCCGCAGTGATTTTTCTCCTCTTCAGATCCTGCCAGGTGGAGGGGCTGGGCAGCTGGCTTCTGAGGGGCCAGGGCTTTGGAGATTAAAGGAAGGGTGCGATCTCTTCTGGCTCTTATTACCTTTGCTACGTGATAACTTTGCTTGTTTCTGAAGCCCTTTCCTTTAGGGTTTTTTCCTTTAGTTTAAGATTCAGATCCAGCCTCTGCCACTTACTATTCTGTGTGACCTTGAGCAAGTTATTAATCCGGGCCATAGTTTCCTCAACTGTAAAAAGAGGGAGTTGTCTTCTAAAGTACCTACCCTCTCTGAATATAAGATTCTATGAAGCACAACTGTGTGAGGTAGACAATGCAAGTTTATCGTGATTTGTAGATGAGGAATCTGAGGTGGAGGCAAATAACGACATGGCCACAAATGTCAGGGATTGAATTTAACCCAGGTCTTTCGACTCTCAAGTCCTTTGTCCTTCTCATTATGCCAGGCTACCACATACTCAATTTGGGATTGTATGATAATGCATAGGGGCAGCTAGGTGGCACAGTGGATACAGCACTGGGCTTGGAATTGGAGAGATGCCTCTTTATGAGTTCAAATCTGGTCTCACACACTAACTAGCTGTGTATTCCTGGGCAAGTCACTTAATCCCTTTTGCTTCAGTTTCCTTATCTGTAAAATGAGCTGGAGAAGGAAATGGCAAACCACTCCAGTTTCTCAGCCAAGACTCAAATGGAGTCACGAAGAGTCGGGCACAAAGACAAAGTGATAACGTATACAAAATGCTTCATAATCCTAAGGTACTAAATTTATATATGTGTATGTATATATATATTTATGCATATATACATATTTATTCACACACGCTCACACATAACCCGAAGACCCAGTGGCCCTCAAGTTAAGAGCCCCTGTGCTAGACGATCTTTTAGATCGTTTCCAGTTTTGTAACACAAATTTTTAAATGGTTGGCTAAATAGTATATATGTGTATTTGTGTCTCCATATTTATATACACACTATTATTACAAGCACCTTTACATAATTGAGCTTGATGACATTTAACCAATCATTTTAAAATCTGGAAGCTCAAATTATAGAATTTAGAACTAGAAAAAAGGATCTTAAAGATGATCTAATCATTTTACTAAGGCTCAGAAAAGTGCAGTCAGAGGTATCCTGGTAAATGTTTCACAGCTGGTTCTCAAGAAAAAAAAAAGTACCCACAATCAAACAATAAATTAAGCCCTGATTTGTAGCATTGGGTTTCCAAGATATAAATGCTTGTATTGAAAATTTAACAATCAACTTGAACTGGTGCAAGCTTGCTCCAAAACAACCTTTTTATGTGGGCCTTGGACCCCTTTGGTATTTTGTTGAAGCCTGTGGACCCATAGGTTATTCTGAGAAGAGTAATGTTTTTAAGTATATAAAATAAAATACAAAAGACTACAAAGGGAACCAGTTATATTGAAATAGTTATTAAAATATTTGAAAAATAACTTCATGGAGCTCAGGTTAATAACACCCAGACTAGATGATCTCTCATATTCATTCCAGTTTTGTAACACACATTTATAAATGGCTAAATGTCATCAAATCAAGTTTTCAAAGGCATCCTTTTAAAAAATGAATGCTAATAACTTTCATTAATATAGTCCATCAGGGTTACAAAGGATGTTTTCATGCATTATCTCTGATTCTCACAGTCACCTTGGTAGGTAGGTAGTACATTCTTGCTCCTGTTTTATTCATATGCATTTGGTTTTTTAAGTCTTTGTAACAGCACTTAGCTCTTAAAATAGGGATTTAGAGACACTACCTTGGAGATTTAGTGCCACTCTTTTATATAGGAATAGTAAATGGACAAGCAGACGGGAAAGCTGTGAATTCTAAAGACTCACTGGTTAATTCTTCTGGGTAGAAAGATTACCTGTCTTTAGCTGTGCCTTGTATGTTCAGGCCCATTCAGATAAGTAGTTTATAATTTACTCTTTTGGTTCAGAGCAGATCAGTATTTGGAGACACAGTGGAAAAAGCCCCAGAGTAGGAGCCAAAAGACTCAGTTTCTTGTTGCTTACTCAATATTGTGGAATCTTGGACAACACTTAATGTCTCTCAGACTTAGTTTCTTCATTTTAAAAATTTAAATATCATAATATATGCCTTGCCAACAGGTTTATTGTATCAGTGAGATAATGTGTATGAAAATGCTTTGTAAGCTATAATATTGAAGTAATTTTTTCCCTATTCAGCTTTATTTTATATTAAATTTCCTTCACATTTTTTTTGTCCTAGTCAAACTGACCTGCTGGTTTCTTCTGATATTTAATACTCCATTTCCCTACTCTGTACTTTTGGATAAGAGCCTCCTTCACTCCTACCCTTCTCTCACCGTGTTTGTAATGAATACTCTCCTTTCTTCTTTGTAGAATCCCTAAATTTCATTCTTTCCTTCTTTCTTTTTTTTTTAGGCAGGTGCTAATATTATAATCATTTTATGTATTTTAAAAGTTTAAACAATCTTTTTCAAATTCAATTTATTTTAATTTCAGTTTTGAATTTTTTCCCTCCCTTCCCCTGAAACCCCTTAAGAAAGCCAGAAGAAACATAAACTATTGGAGTAGTTTTTTAAAAAGACCTGTGCCTTGCACATAGTAGGTACTTACTAAGTGTTTATTGAATTGAATTTGTCTTGTCTTTATGAACTGTTATAGCTAAGTCATCCCCCAGTGATCAATTCTCTGTACCAATGTAAGTTATTTTAAAATATCCTACTTAGTACATTTAGATCATTGGGTTAAGCATGTTTGTCTTTAGGTACTATTTACTGACTCTACGGCAGGACTTAAGTCATAAAAATTTCTGGTTCTTGACAATTCTGTGATTCTGCTAGAGAAATAAATGGAACACCTTAATTTCAGACTGGAAGGATATCACGAAATCATGAAAAATCCTGGAAGACAAGAACAATAATACCTCCTAACTATTTTACTCACTGGTAAAGCTCTCACTGTATGCTCTGCTATAAAGGCTGTATCTGATACTCTGCCAATAACTGCTCTTTGACTTTGAGCAGGTCATGTGACCTCCCTGAACCTCAATTTCCCCATGTATAAGTAGGACATTGGTGTGTGAGAAAATGACAAGTTGTACTGATTTAGGGGAAGCTGGTGGCACAGTGGACAGAGTGCAGGGCCTAGAGTCAGTAAAACTTGAGTTCAAATGCAACCTCAGACACTTACTAACTCTGGTACCCTCATTTAATTGCTGTGTACTTCACTTTCCTCATCCATAAAATGAGAATAATAAGAGCACCTACCTTCCAGTGTTATGATGAGGATTAAATGAGACAATAGTTGTAAAGCACTTCGAATAGTGCCTGGCCCAAAGTAAGCAAAATATAAATGTTAGCTTTTTTTTATTATTAGGTGACCTCTGAGGTCTATTTCAACTCAATCTATTATAGATCCTATGTACAAGCTTATTTATCCTAGCTTTAGTTAGCTAGCTGTTTATGCAAATATGTTATGAAAAACATAAGTATTGCAATTTTGGTAAAAATATTTACATATCAGCTTCTGTATGCTAGTTAATATATATGAATTACACTGGCCCCATTGCAGATTTTGATAAGAAATTTTGTCTTAGAGATATATAGAATTGAAGGTACTGTCTCCAGGATTGTGTGTATGGAAATTCCTTTCAGAAAGAATTGTTCAGAGAACAATTAATTGTGGATTCAGAATCAGAGGATTTGGGTTATACCACTGATTGGCAATCTATGAAACCTTGGGCAAATAACCACTTATCTGGCTTCATTTCCCTCTTCTGTGAAATGAAGGGGTGAACTGGCTGACTTTTGAGGTTCCTTTTACCTATAAATATGTGA